ATTTCATAAACAAACCAAAATATTGTCTTCATATCTTTGTTTTTCTTGCAAAAACGTTAAGTAGGCCAGGCCATCCGAGTAAAAAAAAAAAATAAATTTAACAGAAATAATGAAAATGGAAATTCAAAGGGTTTATGCCAAATAGCAAACCAGTCCTCTGCAGCCTCACTCATTTGTTTTTGGGTTGTGAAGCCATGTAGAGAGCAATCAGGCAGTAGATGGTCCCTCCCACAGTCAGCGCCATGGTGGTCCGGTAAAGCATTTGGTCAGGCAGGCCGCGTTTCAGGTGGACAGGCACACCGTCGGATTTCTGGAAAAACTTCTGCAGCTCTGGAACTTTGTTTTTCCCAGCATAATCATACGCTGAATCGGAGGTCAGTTTAGTTGGTGTGGCAAATATGATAGGTGGTGCTTCTGTGGAAACCACAGGCTTTAATCCCTGCGGACTATAGGCGTCCGAAGCCCATGCTCCCACCAACTTCTGCGTGAAGCCACTAAACTTGTAGTACATGACTCTCGGAGTCCGACTTTTCGCGTCCGCTGCCTGCGCGACCGCCCCAGAAAAGGGAAAGAAAACGTTTTGATACCAAAGAGATAGGATGTTGCCTTACTAGCATGCTCTTACCCTCTTACCTGTCTCCTATATAAATCATACCAACTTTCAGGACTGATCAACATGTACCTCCCTTGTACATTCATTCATTGTAAACACCTGTGAACCTCTGACTCCGAACATTTATTCAATTACTCTCTATGTATTAGTTGGCAGTAAATCATTGTGATGTGTAGCAATATCTTGTTTTTCTTGAACCCACTTAAATGCTTCTTGTATTTAAATTTCCACCTGTTCATCTTTCCAGATTAACACTGAGAATGAGAATCACATTGTTTGCTTTTGCTAGTCTATGCAGGGCTCTGAACAACTGTCAGTGAATAGTAGATGCTTTTGTTAATTTGATCCTAAATTATCCTGAAAGGAGGACTAAAATAATTATGATGTGGTTGTTTACACATGCTGTCACATTTTTAACATTTATATATTTAACATACAAATTGCTTTTGATTCTGAGTAATTTCCTCATAGCTTATTGTATACTTACATTGCAATATTATATCAAAGCAGAGTAAAATTTTTTGTTACAAATGTATACAATGTAGTTTACCATGTTTTATGCATGTTACAGAAAAAAATATACATATAATTACACACATTTTAATAAAT